ATATATATATATATATATATAATATATATAATATATATAATATATATAATTATATGATATATATAATATATATAATATATATAATATATATATATATATATATATATATATATATATATATATATATATATATATATATATATATATATATATATATATAATATAGTATGTTATAGAGAAAAACACAAACTTTTTCGTCTCTGTAATAAGAAAAAAAAAACAAGTTCACAAACTGAATCTACTGCCATAGAGTGGTAGCTCTTTTATCAAAGAATTTGAATTAGTGCATATAACTATGGATTTAGTGTATAAAACAAAACAAAATGATTGTTTTGTTTTATACACAAAATTGATGCTAATAGTTACTCGGTTGTTAAAAACTTAGCCCAATCAATTGCTAATCTTCATATCTGGATAATGGGCTTATGGACATTATTTCAGATAATAAAGCTATCACCTTGCAAGTAAACCAAATAAAAAAACTCAAACTTGAAGCAGCAGTTATAAATAGTTTTAACTTTCTAATTTCAAAACTAGCTATCCTGGAGAAGTATTGCATAAGTAAGTCTCATTATCTCAAAGCATTTTCAAACCAGCCATCTTGGAGTATTAATGTGAGAAACTCATTGCCTTGTTGATGAAATAGGAATGGAACTAATTGTTCAAATCCTAGTTCACTAAAGCAAGCAGTCAAGCATTAGAATAATATAGTAATGTTACCAAACCAGCATTGTTACACAGCATTACAAGACCCTACCAGTACTGAACCTCACCAATGAGGATGTTAGTTTTTCCTTAACACAAAAAAAGTCATCAAATAGCTGGCCATTGTGGTAGAATTTAAGGATGTTGGCAAAAAAAAAGTTTTTATAAACTCTTGCAAACTTGCTAACACATGAAAATCGCATGAAATTCAGTCAGTCCTAATTTTTTGCCAACTTATGAAAACTTGAGTATGAACTTTGCAAAGGCTGCAATTACAAACTTCACATTAATAATCTTGATGTACTTTTTTCACTGGGGTTACCTATATAAAACATTTGTCAAGATCTGTGGTGCCATCATTGCCAACACCAGTTGCTTACCAACCATCTGCAGCACAAGCATGCATTCTCTCTGTAACAAAAATGATATCTTTTATAATTTTTCTTACTGGTATCAACATTTATATTGTTTGTCTAACTAAAACATGGCTGAGTTTTTTTTTTATTTTTATTTTATTTGCATTCACTCCCAACAAAGCTGCAAGCAACCACTATTAAGTTGGGAGTTACTAGGAAAAAAAAGAACAGAATTATAGAGCAAGGAAACGGTTGACAGAAGACTTGAAAAGTTGAAGGTTGTATGAGTCAGGAAAACATGAAGATGGGAGAGAGTTCCAAAGGATAGAAGTGTGGGGAAAAAAACTAGATGAATAAAAGTTTTTAGAGCATGCAGGGACAGATACAGTAAACGAATGAGACTTAGCTGAATGACGAGTAAAACGAGAATGAATTTGAGTTGATGGAACTAGAGATGATAACTCCTTTGAGCAGTGACCATAATAGTATTTGTAGAAAAAAGAAAGAGATGCAACTTTACGATGATGGGAAAGAGGCTCAAGCTTAGCAGATAGTCCAGGTACAACAACATTTACAATGCATTTTTGGACCTTGTCAAGAAGAGAAAGTGAATCGTTAAAAGAACCAGCCCAAATATGACAACAGTATTCCATACAGGGACGAATAAGAGATTTGTAGAAAATGGAATCAGAAGTAAGGAAATGGCGAGCACGATAAAGAGAAGCAACCTTAGCAGAAGCTAATTTAGCAATCAATTGTATATATGGTTTCCATGAAAGGTCAGTAGTAAGCGATAATCCAAGAAGATGTAAAGAGTAAGGAAATTATTATTTCTAATATATAAGTTCTAATAACTATAAGTTCTAATAGTAAGGAAATTATTCCTTCTTAAATCAGTAGTAATTACACTTACATAAGCACTGAACATCATGATCGCATAGGTGTTGTTACTTGTATGTTTATAAATAAGAAATATTCAAATAAAACTAAATATCGCCTCCCCCTCAAACTCAGTACTTTAACAAGAAATCCAACTATTGCTCAAGTATACCCCAAATACCTGCCTTGAGGATGCTCCTGTTGAATAATGTGCACCTACATCCTGGATTGGTTGAAAAGTGTGCATCACAGCAGATCATATCAACTTGTGCAACTCATCGATCCAGCAATAACTAGCTGCACAATCAGTAACAAGCTCCTTATCGTTCTTGCAAAAGAAAAATGGCTGTCCTGCTGGCTTTATTTGCTGTTCTCACTAACTCATTTAGCTTAATGCGCAACCTACCCAGAAATCTCCTATCATTGACATAATCTTAGGTAATTCTCCAAAATGCTATGTAACCAATATCTTATAATGAATATATGTTCAGTTTTCTTGAAACTGAAAACTGTTTTTTTATCTAAAAAAAAACAGTCATTACTAAATAGATAAATAGTTTAAAGATTTTTTGTTTTGAAAAGCTAACAAGTAGCGTGGAAACAAGCTAACAAGTAGCGTGGAAACAAGCTAACAAATAGCATGGAAACAAGCTAGCAAGTAGCGTAATAACAAGCTAACAAGTAGCGTGGAAACAAGTTAATAAGTAGCGTGGAAACAAGCTAACAAGTAGCGTGGAAACAAGCTAACAAGTAGCATGGAAACAAGCTAACAAGTTGCATGGAAACAAGCTAACAAGTAGCGTGGAAACAAGCTAACAAGTAGAGTAATAACAAGCTAACAAGTAGCGTGGAAACAAGCTAACAAGTAGCATGGAAACAAGCTAACAAGTGTGGAAAGCACAAATTTTGTGAAAATATATATTTTTAAAAGAAGCACTTTGATATTGCATATAGTTTTATTTATTTCAATTTTTTTTTACCAATTATTATTAGATAACATACTGACAGATTCTTTCAACAATATTTAAATTTTAAAATACTTTAAATAATGAAAAGAGTCCAGGAAAGTCAAGTAACACTAACTTAAGTTGTTTTGTCAACTTTTTGATATTTTTGTTTGTTGTTTCATTTTGTTTGTTTTTAATTTTTTGTTATTGTTGTTGTGTAAGAATTTTAATTTGAGATTATTAAATCTAAAAATCTTGCATTCCATCTGTGAAATAAATAATATTCCCAAATTTTGATCCTTCTTTTACCCTTCCTGTTTTTAAAACTAAATTTAAAAATATTTTCTCTATGGACAACATTCTAAAATTCTACTGAAAATGTATGTAAAATGTATTATTATGTATATATTAACATATATTAAAATATTTGTATGTTGCATTATGTTAAATCTTCAATATATCTATATATTACAAGTAAATATGTTTAACTTTTAAGGTTCTGATGATAAGATCCTTATGATCTTCTTTCAAAAACCTAGCTATATATTGTTAGTACGCTGAATTGTTTATTTTTTTAAATGATTTTTATGTTATTATGTATCACGACTATTATTGTGAACTAAAAAAAAAAAAAATAAAATAAATTTGTTTTTGTAATTTTGACTTTCGTATTATTTTAAATATTATAGTATATTTTTACATTACACTTTTGTATACAGATCACATGCATTATTTTTAGCTAAAAGCATATTCAGTTATGATTAGTATTAAAAAAAAAAAGTTATTGAGTTGACGCAAAAAAAAGATAGATTAGAAAAGGAAAAAGAGACGAAAGAAAAAATGATCCAAGTTCATTAAATTTGAACTAAATAAGTATGAAATTATAAGTGGGAAAAACTTTCTTTTAGTTTATAGAACTAGGTTTTAGTTTAGTAGATAGATTTATAATCCTGGAGGTTACTTTTAATTTATACGGCAATAATAAAAATTCGCTTTTATAATGTAAAACCGGTGTAAAACCGGTTATCCGGTTTTACAAGTTAAAAAAACTGAAATCGGTTTCTTGAAATATTCCGGTTTTTGCCAAGCCCTAATCTCTACGAAACCACTTGCCAGGCTCCCCAAAAAGATTGTATATCGATCAGGTAAAATTGCTGTTGCATTAATGTAATATACGATCTTAAAACCTTACTTGATTTGCCATATGAAATGCAAACCACTTGCAAAAACTTTTCTAATTTGAGTCTCTGCTCAAGACATTTGCCAACCACTAAAATTAACAACATTTGTCAACCCCAAACCTTGGATGGTGCTTTTTATTAAAAACCTTATTTAAGAATGTCAGGAAATTTTTTCATCTGTTTATTACATCAAGTGGAAAGTACTTGCAAATTGAGTAAGTTAACTAATCCTCAAAAAAAAATCAATTTATAAGACACTTTTTCTCTGGTAAAACAGATTTTTAATAAGAAATCAGGCTTGCCAATAAGAGACAATCACTGATTATATCTCTATGAAATTCACAATTCAATTGAATGATCATTTCTAATTAAAATTGATGAAAAATAACCTAACCTTGTTCTTTATCAGTTATAAATGAGATCCTAACCTCTTGTTCTTTATCAGTTATAAATTAGACCTGCATACTAACTCTAGTTTTACTCTTAATAACATCTCAATCCACTTAGCAACCAGCTTAGCAAGCTAGTCGCAAAATTGCCAGGACCAGATTATCTTTCTCCATTCTTACATAAATCTGATTGCTTTGAAACTGCCTTATCATTTATCACTGCCTTATCCTATTTAACCTTCTAAGTTAACAGCATTAGGCACGCACTAATGATGTCATGCTAAAAAAGTTAGGCTGTGGGGGCTTTAGTACATACACAGTATCTTATAGCCTGCTGCCAGTTGGAGGGGCTGCTGAGGATTTGGGATGGGGCAGCAATCTTTGGTCATAAGTATGGAAAAAGATAATCAAACAATTTTCTTATTTTTCTGAATAATCAAATGCGCACCTTTTACAAATGGAAGCGCAAAAAATATATTAGAAAATTGCATCCTTAAGTATGAATTATTTGTGATTATCATTATTACTATTATTATTGTTTAGATATTACTTCCTGAATCAGCAACAAAAAGTAGCAACAAAAAATATGAAGAAATAGATATCCCAGCATCTGCCTCCAAGCTACCTGATTATTTAAATATATTTGTTGAAATAAAAAATCTTGATGAGGTAAGGAGTTATATTTTGGTGGAGTAACAATTTATCATATTTTGATTATTATTTTTGTTTTTATGTATATATATATATATATATATATATATATATATATATATATATATATATATATAATATATATATATTTAACTTATTTCAGATTTTTATATTTATAGGTTGGACAAATAGTTTTTCGCAATATAAAAAAACTAAATCGTATACAAAGTATTGTCTTTGATGCTGCATATAACACCAATGAAAATTTATTGGTTTCTGCTCCCACAGGAGCTGGTAAAACAAATATTGCGTTACTTGCAGTTACACATGAGATAAAGCAAAACATGGAAATGGGTGTGGTTAAAAAGGATGCTTTCAAGGTAGATATTAAGTATAAATGCAATATATATATATATATATATATATATATATATATATATATATATATATATATATATATATATAATATATAAATACACTTACTAAAGCGTATTTTCATAAGCATTCGCTCACTTTTTTTGCTTACCTTAATCCATACAGCTTCTTTAGAAAAAGAAGAAAAAAAAACGAAGAATGATGAATGAAACAATTGCTGCCCCATCCCAAACCCTTAATCGATGTAGCAGCACTCCACTTCGAGTCAGGCTATTTGTCAGTCGATGTATGTACTGAAGCCCCCAGCAGCAGGCTATTTTAGTATAACGTCAGATTCCTTACCTTAGTACGCAATACTATTTGTGTATATATATATATATATATATATATATATATATATATATATATATATATATATATATATATATATATATATATATATATATATATATATATATATATATATATATATATATATAGATGTATATTTATTTATTTTATAAATCTTTATTTAAAATTGATTAGCATTACAAATAATGAATAGTACAATTTTGTCTATTGTTAAATAATGAGTAAAAGTTAACTAAGAGCGTAGGAAAAAGATTATTTATTATTTATGTGTTGAAAAGGCAGCGGAGCTGCCAATGTTTTGTGGGAGGTAGATGTCACTGACCCCATCACAAAGAATATGTAGGTATTTTTGAATGAAAGATTACTGATAGGTAATAGTGACTGCAGTATTTAGAGTGAATAAGAACCTGTTGGAGTTTCTGCTATTGGTGCAAGGTAATTTAGTGGTTATCAGATGGTTTATGTCAGCAAGGTTCTTTTTAAGGATATTAATACAGATCTTGTCTAATAATTTCTCAAATATAGATTTTTTTTTCCGGGAATACCCGGAATTCCAGAAATTCACTTTTAATTTTCCAGAAATTTCCGGATGTTTTTTGTTATTAATTTGAAAAAAAAAATTATATATTTTTACATAAAATGTTAAATGACAACTTTTGCATTTAAACAAATGTTTTCTATAATTAAAATTTTTATGAGATCAATTTTCGTAACAATTTTTTTACTTTTTTTTTTTTACTTTTTAATTCATTCAAATTAACTTTTTTGAATATCAGAAATTCCTTTTTGTAAAAAGTTAAATATTCTAAATTCTGTTTTAAAAGTTTACAAAAGTTTTTGTTGTTCGCCACAAAGTTATTCATTCTTATATGCGCGTCTATTCAATTTTACGTGCGTTCTATTCATTATATGTGTTTTAAAAAAGCAATAAGAACAAAAAAAAATCATTTAAGCGTTTTGTTTTGAAAAAACAATTTACATTTTTCAAAACAAATTTTTCGTATTTCCTGGTAAATTAGGTTAAAAATACTTAAAAAGAAGATTTTTTTCAAAAATAATTAAAACGAAGATGTTAGAACTGGGGTACTCTATATCATGTAACTGATAACGTAAGATCTGTAGACTTGTTGAAGGTTGGTCTGAGTGCGTCTGATTTGCTTAAGGCGCTTGAATAGAAATGGCACTGATTTTATAGTGTTGTGCACTTTTATCCATTTTTCATCCCAATCAAGATTCTCATTAAGCAGGATTCCAAAATATTTGTAGCTGTATACAATTTCAAGTTCAGTTTTATTAAGTATGGGAGATGGTAGAGCATGAGTGTGGGAGCACAGGGAATTAATTCTAATGACTTTACATTTTGAGCTGTCGAGTTTTATTCCATTAGCCACAGACCAATGTGTGACGCCATCAGCAATGGATTTAAATGAATTGGAAGTAACTATATCAGAGATAATGTAGGTCAGGATGTCATCAGCATATTTTTCTAGGATGGTTGCAGATGAGAGGTAGGTGTTTATATCAGAAATAAAGAGAGTTAACAATATTGGGCCGAAAACACTACCCTGAAGTACTCCGGCTTGTGTATATTTCCAATCAGTGGTGTAATCACTTGTTTTTACTCTTTGGTGACGATTAGATAAGTAAGCTGTGATCCAAGATGTGAGCCATTTGGGTAGAATATTCACCAACTTAAGTAGCAACTTGTCATGACCAACAAGATCAAATGCTTTTGCAAAATTGAAGAATATTGAAAAAAATTGATTTATTATCTTTAGCATGACTCCAATCCTCTATAACTTGAATAATAGTGTCCATTGTACTACGGCCTGTAAGGAAATCGAACTGTTTGTTTGAGACCTAGATGTGCTTGGAGTGATGGACGATGAATTTGGTGACAATGCGTTCAAAAACTTTGCATAACGTGGACATAATATATATTAAATATACATATATATATATATATATATATATATATATATATATATATATATATATATATATATACAAAATAGAAAGTGCATTATTATGGTATAATAATAATAATACAAATACTCTTGTGCGTTTAAGAGTGCTCAATACTATTAAATAATAGAGCAATATTTATTTATTTATATTAAATGAATAAAAACAACTTTTGATGGAACTCTGAGTTTTATGCCTTTCGGCAATCATCAGCCATTGTGTATTTCGTCACTTAAAAACCGTTTAAAAATTACAAATTAAAATTACGATGGAACGAGTTCTGACGTTACCAAACAAAACAAAACAAAACAAAAAGACGTCAAAGGTTTTAGTCCCTGGTATCAAATAAGGATAGTAAAAATTTTTTTGAATGGCGGCACTTTGATATTATTTCATATCTTTTATTAAGTAAGTTTTCTCCTTTATATGATAATATGTGAAACTTCTCGCGGAGACAAAGATTACAAACTTTTGATGCTTGATTGTAGGGCTTACATTGTGCTATTATCTTCCATGTAATCACAGGATTTATATGTTTCGATTTTAGCTCCCATATTTCTTTAGAAAGTTCAGTGTCATTTTTATATTTGGGTGCATTGAAAGATTTAAGATGGTTGGCATATCTTAATTTAAATGTGGTTTCACTTATACCGAAATAAACTTTATCTTTGCATTGAGGATCACCAGAACTTACAGTGGCTTGGTATATGATATTGCTAAAAAGGCATTGGTTATTTAACGGACAAATATTTTTGTCTATGCAGTTACATTTTTTTGATGTTTTATTTTTATCGCTATGTAAAATTTTGTTATTATGCGTATTTATTAAAGACTTGACATTAGGCATGCAACTATAGCTTACTTTAACATAGTTTTGATTAAAAATTTTATGAAGAAATAAAATTTTATGAAAAATTTTATGAAGAATTAGTAAAGTTATTTTATCTAAAATTATTCACGAACTAAAAAATAAACTACAGTTGAATCAATGGCAAAGCACCCATTTTGTTATCGATTGGTTTAAAAAAATCAAAAATAAACACCTTTGCAAATTTCTAATTTTTGATATAAATGATTTTTACCCATCTATTAGTGAAAACATTCTTACCAACGCAATCAGTTTCGCCGAACAACATGTTATTATAAAAAATGACGATAAAAAAATAATATATCATGCAAGAAAATCTTTTATTTTTAATAACGACGAAGCTTGGATAAAGAAAAGAGGCGGATTATTTGATGTCACAATGGGAGCATTTGATGGAGCTGAAGTTTGTGAACTAGTTGGTATTTTTATGTTGTTTCAGCTCTCTCAACATTACGATAAAAATACTTTTAGCTTGTATCGTGACGACGGGCTTGCTATTTTTGAAAACAAAAGCGGCCAGCAAATGGAAAAAATCAAAAAACATTTTACACATATTTTTAAAAGTAACAACCTACTTATCTCCATCCAATGTATTATTAAAATTGTCAATTTTCTTGATGTAACATTGAACCTGATTGACAGTTCTTATCAACCGTATTGTAAACCTAATAACCAACTTATGTATGTTCATTCAGAGTCAAACCATCCACCTAATATAATAAAAGAAATCCCTCGCACTATTGAGTTAAGATTATCGAATATGGCAGTAAATGAAACTGTGTTCAATAACTCAATTATTCCGTATGAAGAGGCTTTACGTAAATCAGGATACAATTCAAAACTCACCTACCAACCGCAAATAAACAAAAATCAAAAAAGACATCGCAAACGTAAAATTATATGGTACAACCCCCCGTTTAGCAAAAATGTTGAAACTAAAGTTGGAAATCGCTTTTTAGCTTTAATTGACCAACACTTTCCAGTAGGACACAGGCTTCATAAAATTTTTAATCGAAACTATGTTAAAGTAAGCTATAGTTGCATGCCTAATGTCAAGTCTTTAATAAATACGCATAATAACAAAATTTTACATAGCGATAAAAATAAAACATCAAAAAAATGTAACTGCATAGACAAATGTGTGTGTGTGTGTGTGTTAGTCTATTCTACAAATAGAGTGTTCAATGTTCTTAACTAACAGAGCAATAATAAATCAGTAAAAACACTTAAAAGAAACGAGTTTTTGAAGACAAAAATTAGATAAGTGTTATTATTGCTCTGTTAGTTAAGAACATTGAACACTCTATTTGTAGAATAGACTAACACACACATACACGCACACACACATATAAATGTATATATATGTGTATATATATATATATATATATATATATATATATATATATATATATATATATATATATATATATATTAGGCGACAAAACCCTGTGTGTGTGTGTAAAATACACACCCAGGGTTTTGTGGCACCCCTAAAAAAGCATCAAACAAGCCCCTAATATTATTAAAAAAAAAAGTTTTTTAAAAATGTGTCATATTGGGTCTTAAATGAAGCAAAATTATATAAAAATTTTAAAAAGAACTTCATAAAAAACTTGAGAAAAAATAATTATAATTGAAACAAATCTTGTTGAATTATTTTTTCCGTTTTTAATTTTAAAATGTCATATCCTATATACTTAAATATAAAATAATATATAAAAAAATTTAAAAACTATTTTTTTGATAATATTAAGTACCTGTTTGGTATTTAAGAGTCTTGTAGAACCCTTAAAAAAAAATTTATTCAAATCCAGTATTATT